CTGTGTTCAAAGAAGCAGGACTAAGTCCATCCTTGTAAACAAGCAGAATTACATCAAAGGACAGAGAAACTGTAGGAGTCAAGCTTCTCACTAAAACAAATCTTCAAGACTGAACTTTTTGGTTAGCCACTCAGGCCAAACATGTAAACACACCCCAAGTCTAACAACACTACTTTGACAGTGAAGAGAGTAAGTTTTCAGCACAGATACGGGCCCCAATTAGTCTACATTAGTTGACAAGAAGACTGAAATCAGCCTGCAAGTGCTCAGTTACTAGATTTCCACCTCCACTATTACTGACTGGCTCAATATCATGGTTCAAGGACTCTAGGAAAATGGCACCGCAAGGAGAAGCACAAGTTTCCCTTTTGCTCCCCAACTGGGCTGTGGCAGCAGGTGCCTATTTGGGGACTCATGTGTGCCATATAGCTCTCTGCCACAGCTCCTTTACTGTGGAATACCAAACTCCCGATTCCAGTGACGTTAGATGCAGTGTTCATGGAGACTTACCTTTAAGGCATCAGAATCCAAAGTCCCCTGTGTCACAACCCAAAGTTGTGATTTTTGTTTTGTGTGTGCTTCGGCACTGCTAAATTATTTTCCCACCAAATTGCAGCTTCTTTGCACGGTGGAGTTTTCTGCTGCAGAGAAGAACTCCGGTGCAACAGAGAATTTTCCCGCCAATTTATAGCTTTCTTTGCATGGCGCATTTCTTTTGCATCTCAGAAATGCACGGTGCAAAGAAGTTCCCGCCATTTGTATTTTAATTCGAGCCCCATTATTGGCTTGTGTTAAATTATGCACACGTGGCGGCTAGCGATTGGCTTGCTAGCCATATAAAGAGCTTGTCACCCAAGTTGGAGAGAAAGCAATTGGAGTCCGAGAGGGAGAGAGTGAAGATCTCTAAGCGCTGCGGATCCTTACGAACCCAACGCATTTCTTAAGAAGGCAACAGAGGTCTAAACAGCCTCTGGCCTCTCCCCATTGCCGAGCGCAATCCTAGACGAATCCCTATCCTATATACTCAAGATCCGAACCCACGGAGCCTTAACAACTCCGGGGCCAGAGAGCTGAACCAAACCCACAGAGCTTCAACAACTCCGTGGGAAAGAAATTGCCGAACCCACGGAGCCTTAACAACTCCGGGGCCCAAGAACCGAGTTTGTCATAGTCCTC